AGACTCCATGATAAGGATGTGCTGGTTGATTTCACCGCTCAGAAGAGATTGTTTTAAGATTGGTGATAGATCGGGCTCGGTGGCTCAGCCTGTAATCCTGCACTTTGGGAGGCTGAGGTAAGTGAATTGCCTGAGCCAGTGGGTTCGAGACCTGCCTGGGCAACTTGGTGAGACCTCCTCTACAATAAATCAAAAATCACCCGGGCGTGGTGGCACGCGCCTGTAGTTCCAGCTACTTGGAAGGCTGAGGCAGAAGGATCGCCGGAGCCCAGCAGGTCGAGGCTGCGGTGGCCGGAAGTGGCCACTGCACTCCAGTCTGGGCGACAGAGTGAGACTCCAACTCAAAAAAAAAAAAGAAAAAAAGAAAAAAGTCTATGCATGAAGTTAAAAAGTCCTCAACTAGGTTATTATCAGTAAAAAGCTCACTTTGAATAAAGAAATCATAGAACTGGTTGATTAAATATGGGAGTTAAAGTAAAATATTTTAAACATATAATTGATAGAATGGTAGACAAAGAAATTTTTCTTATTTTACTTATTTTATTTTATTTTTTTACAAAAATTCGCCAGGCACAGTGTGGGAGGACAATGTAGAAGGATTGCTTAAGGCTAGAAATTTGAGATCAGCCTGGGCGTCATAGCAAGCCCCCATCTCTACAAAAACTTCAAAATTAGCTAGGTGTGGTGGCACGGGCCTGTAGTCCCAGCTCCTCAGGAGACTGAGGCCGAAGGATCACTTGAGACCAGGAGTTCAAGACTGCAGTGAGCTATGATCTTACTTCAGTCTCAGCAACAGAGCAAGACCATGTCCAAAAAAATTTTTTTTAGTAAGTAAAAAATGAAGCAGCGGGGCACGGTGGCTGATGCCTATAATCCCAGCACTTTGGGAGGCTGAGGTGAGAGGATTGCCTGAGCTCTACAATAAATCAAAAAAATTTGCCAGGCATGGTGGTATACACCTGTGGTATCTTCCAGCTACTAGAAAGGCTGAAGCGGAAGGATCTCCTGAACCCAGAAGGTTGAGGCTGCAGTGGCTGTGAGTTTGACACTGCACTCCAGCCTGGGTCACAAAGTGAGATTCCAGCTCAAAAAAAAGACCCGCCTAGACAACTTGGCAAGACCTCATCTCCACAGTAAATTTGAAAAATTAGCCAGGCATGGTGGCACACACCTGTAGCTCCAGCTACTTGAAAGACTGAAGCAGAAGGATCGCCTGAGCCCAGCAAGTTGAGGCTGTGGTAGCCGTGACTGTGCCACTACACTCCAGCCTGGGCGACACAGTGAGATTTCAACTCAAAAGAAAAAAGAAAAAAAAGAAAAGAAAAAGCCCAAGAAGGGAACCAACACGCTTTCAAAAGCAGAGAGGACCAAGTTAGTGATGTAGAGTCTTTCCCTCTCTAAATCATAACAAAATACTTCTTTGAAGCTTTAACTGAATTCTTTCCTGATCTATGAAGTTGGCTGTGATTTTTACCTTCTGACTTCCTGTTACACTCAGCCTCCAACACACAGCTTAGCTCTTAATCATGGAGTCTTTTATCCTTCCCCAATTACTAGTCTTGGCTCCCAAACAAGGCTGTAAATTCCTTGAGTACAGAGACAGACCCCTCCACCATCACCTCCAATACTTAACTTTTTTGGCCATAGTGCCAGGAGACACAGTAAGTAACTACTACAAACATTTATTGATCTTCAGTTTTGCAATTCGGTAATCTTATCAGCAGGCCACTTTGGTTACTGATGCACATTTTGTGTCCCTAAAGACAAAGCTCTAGGAATCCTTCAACTTACAAATATGTCAACGATAACCATTTCAATTTAGACCGTCTCTAAATAATCTAGCATTTGAGGTTTTCTCCCTTCCATTGGCTCTAGAAACCTAAGCTCCCCAAAGCCCCTTTTTTCCTATTTTTCACCAAATGACAGCTGCAATGACTTCCAGAGATCAAGCCAGTACACAAATCATACTACCATGGAAATCTGCAGTCCAATGTATTTGGCAAGCTTGTTACACAATAAAACTTGAGGTCAGAGATTAAATTATATTTTGCAGCAAACAAAAACTGGTTTGACATTATGCAACCAACAGTCTGCTCAATACAGTACTTACAAATGGCAAATTTTGCTTCTGTGTTAAACAGTATTAGCCTTTCAACATTTGATTATAAAGTCAACAAAAATAATAATGTTTAGCCAGGCTTGGTGGCTCAGCCTGTAATCCTGCGCCTTGGGAGGCTGAGGTGAGTGG